CTTTCTCTTCCTGTACATTACTTCCCTGTGAACTACAGAGAGTTCCCCCACGATCTAGAATCAGAGGGAGAAGTCAAGTGTTTCTAATTTGAGGTGGAAGCACAGAGGAGGGGAGTTTCTGGTGGTTGCAAAATTAGCTAGAGTAAGAACTCTGGTGGCATAGTGCCTAGGGCATTTGACTGCTAACCAGAAGGCTGGTGGTTCAAACCCACCAGCCACTCCTTGAAAGGAAGATTGGGCAATCTACTTCCGTAGAGATACCACTTTGGGAACCCAAGGAGGGGTCGCTATGTGTCGAATTGACTTGGCAGTGAGTTTAGTTTTGGTTTGGATGGGAAAAGGAAAATAGTAATGGGCAAAGCCCTCAGGGGTGACAGAGCTGAATGGAGGGACAGTCAGAAGCCAAGTCAAGGTCTGCCTGTTAAATAGAAAAGCTCAGTTTTTGCTGTTTCTTACTGGTTTTCCCACTGGTTAGTACAAAGAGGTCTTACTAGATACTTAGCAAAGATATAAGAACTTGGTAAAATATCTTTGTGTTGAGAATGGCAAAGCCACATTGTCAGAAATGAGTGAATGACACAGTGTTTCCTGCACACCTAACTGGGTTGGCTACAAATATCTGTTAGGCATCAAGATATAGTGGGTTTCTTCCATCTTGGGGCTTGGGTCTGTCCAAAATTTAAAGTTCTAGACTTTGCTACACATTGCACTTGTGCACATGTGCACACACACACACACACCATCCCATGCATCTTGTGCAAAGAAAATGAGGTAAGGTAGCTGTGACATCCATCAGCCACATCAAAACCTGGAGAACATCAGGCTGACTGAATTTGGGAGGATGGCATCTTACTCCATCATTGCTCCAGGTGTGGCCTTTCAAAGACTTCCTCCTGAAACACAACTTCCCCCAGAGAACAATCCCATCATTACATGTAGAAACAGCTGCCTCAGTATTTACCACAGTACTCACTCCACCCCGCATAAACCCTACTCTTGAACAATTTAAAGCTGTCTAGATTGATATCTGTGCAGAAATTTCCCATTAGATCAGCAAGAAAAGCCATAGACATTCCATGGTCAGTTTACATTTTTAGGGAAATTAACAATCTTTATTCAATACTGTTTGCAGATGGTTTTGAGAACCTATGAAGAAACCATTCCTACAGGCCAAGGTATTTTTGTTGTTATTTTAATCTTCTACTGTCAATTTTGTGACAGAGTAAACAGTTCTTCTGCTTCTCTCTTCTCCCATCATATATCCCATCTCTAAACTGCTGCTCCTTGTCTCAAGCCACTTGTTGATTCTATTTCCCTCTTTGCACTGGCAGAAGTAAATCTGTGGCCCACCAGTAATCAGAACTTTATTTCTGCATAATCTTACTTTTCCAAAGTGGGTTTTCCTTTCACCTCCATCTGTTCACTTAATTATTTCTTGCCTTCTAATATGTTGTAAGGTCCATGGATGGTGCAAATGGTTTGCACTTGACTACTAACCCAAAGTTTGGTGGTTCACATCCACACAGCAGTGCCATGGAAGGAAAGCCTAGCCATCTGCTTCCATAAAGATTACAGCCAAGAAAACCCTATGGAGCAGTTCTACTCTGTAATCCATGGGGTCACCAGGAATTGGAATCAAATTGACTGCAACAGGTTTGGGTTTTGGGTTTTTGTTTGTTTGTTTTGATTTGATATGCTATAAGTAAGCCATCTTAAATCCTTTCTGGAATATGGCAGGACATAAAATAAGGTCATCAGAGTTACCCATCTTCTCTGTTCTGACTACCAGCAGGCATTGTGCCTTTCTTTATGCATAAGCCTTTTGCTCCTTCATTCCTTTCTCATTTTTCTACCCACTCACAGTCCTTATCCTATGGTTCCCATGGTATCTTCCAGTTTGTGGCCATCAGTCTTCACTTGGCCCACTTCATCTTTCAGTTCTATTGCCCAGACTGACTGTGTCAGTCCTCCATCTGGCTCTTTCCATTCCTTGTTTTTCACATGACTGGCTCCGCCTCATCCTACATGGCTCATCTAATCGTCACCTCTTCAGAAAGACTCTCCCTGATCACCTTTCTAAGTAGGCTTCCCATTATTTCTCCATTATTTCTATCACAATTTCCTTTTTTTTTTTTTTTTGTAATCTGTGTTCTGACTGCTTCCCTAGTAGATTAAAGATCCACAAAGACAAAAAAAAAAAAAAACTTTTCTGCTTCCAGTGGTATACTAGAGGGGTGCTGGGGATGTGTCTGCTCCAGGTGACACTATCAGAGGGGAGGACACCAAAATTACAAAAGTATAAAATTTTCGTTTTCGTGCAGTGTTTCAGCAAAAATTTATTATTTTAAATAAAATATCCCTGTAGTTAATATAACAAAAATGTTTTTCATAAGCCCAACTTGCATGTACCTATATACCTATGTGGCTAAAACTCTATGTTAGAATGTGCAGGGGGTAGAAGAGAAGCTAGTTGACTGGGACCTTTTAAAACTTAAATTCTTATGCCCATTGAAAGACTTCATCAAAAGGGTAAAAAGAGAACTTAGAGATTGGGAGAAAGTATTTGCCTATGACATATCTGATAAAGGACTTTTCTCCAAAATCTATAGAAAACTTCAACACTGCAACACCAAAAAGACAAATAACCCAATTCACAAATGGGCAAAAACTTGAACAGACATTTCACCAAAGAAGATACACATGAGAAATTGCTCATGATCATTAATCATTAGAGAGATGCAAATCAAAACAATGATGACATATCGTCTCACCCCAGCAATAATAGCAAAGTTCAACAGGTCAGAAAATAATATATGCTGGTGAGGTTGCGGATAGATTGGAACTTTTGTGCACTGCCGGTGGGATGGTAAAATGGTACAATCATTGTGGCAAATGGTATGGCATTTCCTTAAAAAACTGAAAATAGAAGTACCATTTGACCCAGCAATTCCATTACTAGGAATATATCCTAAAGAGGGGAGAGAGAGCGTATGAACAGACATATGTACACCTTTGTTCATCACAGCACAATTCAGTATAGCAAAGAGATGGAAACAACCTAAGTGCCCATCAACAGATGAGTACCAAATTATGGTACACGCACACAATGGAATACTATGCTACATTAAAAAATAATGAGGGATATGCGAATCATCTCACAACATGAATGAACCTGGAGGACATTATGCTGAGTGAAATAAGTCAATCACAGAAAGTCAAGTACTTTATGAGCCCATTACTGTAAAAACACAAAAAAGGGTTTGCTTGGAATATGGAATTCACCTTGTAGGTTACCGGGATGGGGAGGGAAGAGGAAGGATTAATTTAGGGCTAGTTGGGGTCCACACGCTGATGTGGGTAAGGGGTAGGATATATGGAAAGGGTTTGTGACTACCATGATAACATTAGGAAATGGGAGGACACCAAATTATGCACATAAGAGATAGACGACAGATGCTAATACCAACCAGTGTGTCCACAATACTGTGTTACCGTTAACACCAAACACCAGGCTACAGATAAACACATAAACACCAGAGAGAATCAGATGGGGGTCAGTGAACAGGAGTACACTCTAGACCAAGGATAGATTCAGCTGAGGCTAATCTTGCACAGACACCAGTGATACAAAATACCTGCAATCCTTACAGAAACAATAGAAGACAGACACA